TGCATATTGACAAATAGAAAGTTTGGACAAAATATATTGCCTGGCAAGATCATCTGCACAGTGTAAAATGGCCATCTGGGTATCCATTGGGTGAATGTAGGGCTGTGACTTTTTGGCTAATGACTTCATGATATCATCACTGTCTTCAACGGACTCTTCATATGGATCAAAATCCTCATTTTTCTGACAGAAGGAACTTTTAAAGACATGGTCTTCTTCATCTTTGTAAGTCAGTTTTCTCAACCTGCAATCCAACATCAGTAGTTTTTGTAGAAAATAGTTAGGAAGTTGCTGTTCGGATCTTGGCTGGTACTTGTGTACCGATATCTTGTAGATCTGATGGAAGTCAGCTCTGCTCATCCTTTTTGGGTAGAAATGTTCTAGGCCTAGACGCTGGAGTAATTCCAGGAAAGATCCCACTTGTCTCATTTCCTTTGCGTTAGTTTCATGATTTTTTTTGTTATAAGTCTGTTTCCTTTTAGGGTAGAGCCACTGCAACTGTTTTTTCATCTGCAAAGAAGCAGTGGTGGCTTTATAGTCCCCGTCATTGAGTCTACACTCCTGGGCACTAATGAATTGAGTTATATAAGTGGCAGCTTTTTTCAGAATGTTGACTGTGCTTAGTAGAAAACTCTGCAATTGCCAATCTGTGAGAAACATATAAATCCAAATGGCATAATTTTTAATTTTTTGATGCAGTATTTGTATGGAATCTATCAGTATTTTAAGTTTCCCCTCATAATCAGAAACCTCTTGGGATTTCATATTCTTTTGAAAAAGTCTAGTTTCTTGCCCAGTACTATACACATATTCCTCATCCTGTATCTGAGCAGAAAGGCCAGCCAGTGCAGTGTAGTTGTCTTTCAAACATTTAGCCATTTGAAGGGGATCCTTAAAATCACTTCTGTGGCTGTTGAGGATGATGTCCCAAATGGGCACCAAGTGAAGTCCCTTGTCAATGACAGACCAGGTTTTGTTGCTTGTGAGAAGGCCAGCTGTCCACTGGACAATTCCATTTGCTTCTGCTGGTCCACCTGTCTGGGCCACAGAGACCTGAACATTGATTTGGAGCTGTTGATTAGCTGCATTCTGGCAGGATCTCACTGAATATGAATCTGATGTTTTCATCCTTGCTCCAACATCCACCTCAAAGCCATTGTAGTGCCCCCTTATGTAACTGTCTAAGGCCTCTGCTGCCTGTTGCTTCACATGATCTAGCTGGTCCCTTTTGAAACCTTCTGAAATGGCCTTCCAGCAGTAGATTCCCCCAAGGTGCAAAGGACCTTGATTAGCATGAGAACCAAATCTGTTGAAGAATTCCTCAGTCCTGTTTCTCAGTGAGAGGAATTTGTCTGCTTCTTCAGTGTGTTCCAGCTGCTCTTCAATGATTTTCAACTCCTTGAGAGCAGCTGTGGAGAGCTGAAGCTGATCAATTCGAAAGTGGAAAGAGGCCAGGGGCACATAGCTATACTTTGCTGAACAGAAATAAGAATGTTCTGAGTTTGACTGGTGGGTGTCCTTCCATTCTGAATGTTTGCTTTGCTTGATACCAAATTCTGAACTAAATTCTGAGAGTCCACCCTTGGTTGGTCCAAATCCCAGCTTCTGGACAGCTTCAGTGAACATGGATTCTGCTTGAGAAGATGTGAATTCTTTTGCTTCCATCCTTTTTCCTTGTTCAGGTCCAAAGAGGAATAATTCCTTGGGGACCCTAAGAAGATCTTCTCTCCTTGCCACTAGGTCTTTTTGGTGGCAGGTCTTATAAATTCCCTGCAGGGCCAGCCCTCCAGATGCCCATCTTATCAGGTCTCTATCTGAGAGGTTTTGACTGTGAGCCAGGGTCTGTTCCATGTGACTGAGATGTCTCTCCATTGTTTCAGTGATGTCTTTTAGGGGCACTTCAGGCATTGGCCAGCACTCCTCAGGGATCTCCAGTGCTTGCCTCAGCTCTGCTTCTTTTCTTCTCACTGCCTCTTCTTCTCTGTGCTTCCCTTCTGACTGCAAGGCTTTCAGATCCTGCAGTGCCTGTCCGGCCTGCCTCTGCCTGTTCTTTATCATCTCCGCTGGAGTCTCCTGCAGCTCTGCAACACTATTTGTCTGTGAGAGGTCAAGCAGCTTCTCCAGAGCCTTTTTCTCCCATGTGTGCTTTGTCTGGGACTTCAGCTTCTGGAGGTCTCTTTTGTCTAAATATTGTAAGGCCTGGGCAGAGGTCACACCTAGGTCTTCCTGAAGCTTAGGCAGCCAGTAGTCAGCAGACAGTTCCACTTCTGCCAGCATCTCCTGGAGATTGTGCCTCCTTCTGCTTCCAGACTGAGACTTGTCATGAAAATTCTCTTCCGTGTTCATGACTGTGTAAAGAACAGGCACTTAGTCACAATCTTACCCTCTGTAAGCATTGATTTCTTGGCCAATAGAATGAATGTCTCAAGTCTATGTGTCTGAAGATACTTTTCATTCCTATCTTTAATTTTGAAGCTTGTATTTTCATTAGTATCTTTGTCACATTACTGTTCACATTTCTACTAAATGTAGTCAGTGTATCTAGTTGTCATTGTGAGGTGCAGTGCTATAGACTGGGTTTTTAACCCTTCATCCTCCATAAACTCCATGGTAGGACAATCAGCAAAGCAATAGTTGAGATATAAAAATATGTTAGTTTTTTGTCATATCATAAACAAGACTTGTTTCATCATTTCTTTAGCTATTCTATATTAGTTTCAATGAAACTAATATTCTATTAGTATTCTATTCCTAATTTTTGGTCCCTTCATTTTAAATCATGAAATATTTAATTTTGTGTTTCATGCTTCCAAAAGTACCTTTACCTTGGATAATACTTGTTCATTTGTGGTTTCTCATCTTACTCTTTGATATATTATCTTTCTGTTAATTAAACAGCTTCCAATGTGTTGGAGCTAGACATATTTGTATATGTATATTCTAATCCACTAGTCTATCAAAAACATTTCCTCGGTGTTATTGCCACATCTTTACACACACACATATACACACATGCGCGCATGCACACACACATACACACACACACACACACACACACACACATACATATTCACACACACTCAGGCTATTTACCCATAAATAAAATGAAGTAGTATATGCTTCAGTTGCACACATTACTTATGTTTCTAATTCTCCTACAATTTCTGTCCTATTCAAAGGCACCCGTGTATTGGCCAATGATTATAATATTTATCTGTTCTTCCACTTAATGTAAATTTTGTACTCCATGGCTTTCAAATGTCTTCTGTAATCTCTCTTTAATCTTATTTCCTTTTCAGCTTTATCATTTTGCTTTCATATGCATTTATTGTAATGGCTATAATAGGCTATAATAGGTATTATATCTTATTTTTGTTCTCTTATTTTTCTACTCTTCAATTTTTATTTTGAAATCAGTTGGCATTCAACACTATCATGGTGTGTATGTCAAACTTTGTCAAGCTACTTTACCCATGTACTGCATCTATATGTATCACCAGAGGTGAGGTCTTTGTAAGTATTTCAGAAAGAAAGGCCAGATGAAGAGATTTCTAGTTAGTGTTTCCCATTCTCATCACTATGAGAAAATAATTCAGACATATGGAACAAACACTGAATACCAAGCAAAGGAAGATTTGTATACAAAGTTACATAACAAAAAGTGACTGGATGCTTCTTAAATAGGAGTTGAACTGCACAAGCTTTTTAATTGCATGATTATCAATTTCAGAGGATACTGATTAAGGCTACATATTTGATTGTAGAATATTTTTATTAGGATGACAACAAAAAACTTCATTTCTTTTTCATATCAAAATGTAGATTAGAATGTTAGACATGTCTTTGGTTTGAGTCCCTTACACCATAAAACCCAGTTTTGTGATTACTGATCCCATGCCTAGATATTGTATGAAAATTTCCTGCTTTTCCCACAATCTCCCTTGGTTTTCTTTATGTTCTTCCCTCTTACTTCTCTCTGTTTCCCATTAAACCTTTGTCTCAAAAATTGAGATTAATGCCGTTATTGAATGCTAAGTTCAATTGCCCTTTGTCTCTTTGCCTTTCTGCTTGTGTGTGATGAAGAAGCATGAATGCTCACTCTAGCTACTTGTATATTGATCTTATATTTCCCAGTGTCCAGAACTTTAAGGCCCAAATTCTGTTCATTGTAAGCTTTTGGTCTCTGCAAATTTGTTTAAAAAAAAAACAGTAAGAGACAGAAATTGATGCAGGGAGCTGAAAAGTTGTAACACCTGATAATGGAAGCAGCATGGCAAAGAAGTATTGGGAAACAGTTGGAAAAACAACTGTTGGAGATCAAGCTTTCATTACCACAGTTAGAGTGCTATTGCCAGTTTTGGTGAGAACCCTAAGAGAACTATGAGAATATCTATAACTTTTGGGAGTTGAATTGAGTTGCTGTGATTCAAATATTGGTAGACATATACATGCTGTACGCAGCCCTGTGAAATCTCAAGTAGAAATGAGGAACAATGTGTTATAGAGGTAAGGCCAGTCTTGTGAAGAGGCAAATAACTTCACTAAATGGTGTCAATATAGAAGAAAAGGATGAAGATCTTAGAAGAAGGATTGGATATAGTTGGCAATGAGCACACATTTGGGGCATGTGCTTAGCATACGCAAGGGTCCAGGTGTAATACCCAGAACAAAAAAAGATAAAAAATGTGAAATTACAATCTGAAATCACATATATAGTATTTTATATTAATCGATGATGAGTAAAATTTCAAAACCAGAAACACTTGGCCTAGTTTACACCAGTGAATTACATGACCTATATAGTGATATATGACACTAAATTTAGATTCTAAAAATAAAAATAAAAAAATATTATACTTCTCAATTGCTTCTATGAGGCCACCATAACTTTACTTCCAAATCATGATTGAGATATTACATAAAAGGAAATCTGCAAACAAATATTTCTTATCTCTCAGAAGCAATTATTAACATTTGAAATTCAACAATACATAATAGATTCTGCCTCTAGAGGCTTTGCAAGTATTACTGCTGTGTCACATGTGTGTAAGTAGGTGGCAGAGAAGAGAGAGGCTGTGTCTATGCTCCACTCAGTGTTCTGACGTTTGAACATCTGAATCATCTGTAACCTAACATTTCCTGAAAATAGCCTGAGATTCCCACCTGTCCAGCTCTGCATAGGCCCAGATGGGCTCCCAGGAGAGGGAGCAAGCTGGAGACTAGAAGAATCCATCTTGGGATTGTGGGCCCCAAGCAGGAGTGAGCCTGAGACAGGTGAGTCAACATGGGGCCACTTGGGTGGGCTGGGTGAGGAGAAAGCCTTAGACAACTACCAGACTGGAACCATGAGGCCTGAGATGACCACCAGTCTGGCATTATGCATGCTTGGAGGAGGGCAGACCATGCCCAAGATGACCCCTGCCAGGTGCCATAATGCGCAATAATGCCATATACTCCTGAGATGACCCCAGACACTGGGACCCTGGGTGCCACTAAGAGGAGCAAGTAAGTGGTAGAGAAATGGAAGAGAAAAATAAACAGAAGGTTGTGGGCACAGTGAAGTGGAGACTTGAGGGTAGTGAGGAACAGTCTGATGTGAATAGCCAGTGATACCACCTGGGACTAGGGTCGGGTCCTATTCTGTTCTGCCACCAGGGGCTATGACTGAGTCAGTACCCCTGCAGCAGCTGAAGACCAGGTAGATGGCTCTGGTCTGGGCTGCCACCTGGGGTCATTTTGATGTTTGAGGGCTGTGCAGAACTAGCTCCATTCCTCACTTGGGCATCTTGAGAGAGCCGGCTCTGGGGGTACAAGAACAGAGAGAGCCTAGAGTTGTTGGTGAGATGGTCCAAGGATATTAACATGAGAAAGCTGGCCCTACCACATATCTCCCATGCTGTGGCATAGACGAGGGTGAGATACTCTCCTTCCTATTACTCCCTCACCACTATTAACAGGTGGGAGGCCTGGCCTTGGGATCACGAGAGTAGGAGAGCTGTCCCTGCCCATCACAAGCACTTGGGAGAGAGGGCCATGCACCTTGCCTGTGTAGCACAGAAAATCTGACCCTGGTGGTAGCAGCATTGGCAAGTCAACCCCAAAGGTGTGAGTGCTGGTCCTGCCTCTTCTTTGCTGTGTGATGGAATTGGCGAGGGAGAGATCCCCCTTTGCCCTTACCACCAGCAGTGGGTGGGAGAGATGGCCCTGATAGAGATATGAGAGCAGGAGATCTGGACCTGCCCCTCACCTGCTGCAGCACTTTTGAGAGCAGGCCATGTACCTCATCTGTAGAGATGGCCCTGATGGTAGGGGTGTGGGTGAGCTGGCCCTGCAACTTGTCTGCTGTACAGCAGTGTGGATGAAGGAGAGACGCCCTCCTTAACCTTCACCCCTTGCCACCATTGGCAGGCAAGAGAACTGGCACTGGGGTCAGGAGAGCAAGAGAGCTGGTTGTTGCAAGATATTTGATCACACTGTGAACCCTGAGACTGTATACTGGAAAAAAAATCTGTTTCCAGTTGTGGTGTGGCTCAGTCCTAGCACACACGTTGAATCCAAGAGTTTACTGTTTATTGTAAACAAGATTAAATGAGGTCAACCATAGGTCAAGAGATGGAGCAGGCAACCAGTTGATAGGGGGTGAATACAGAAAAAAACATAGTTAGAGGAAGTCAGGAGGATGGATAGAGAGATGCACAGGAAGCAGAAAGGGGGCACAATCAGTTGGAAGTGTTTTTAAGACTGTGTGGAGGATAATGGGCTCTTTCCATCTGGGACATCATTTGAAGAAGAAGGTCAGCTGGGTGCTTTCTCTGCCTCTCTGAGATAGCAGGCTTTCACCCCAGCATCTGGCTCCTGAGTCTTCATTTGATAAAATTATTGGGATTTTGTTTTAAAAAAACAATAGCTAACCCTGCCCCTCAATTGCTGCAGCATTTGGGAAAGCTAGCCCTGTACCTTGCCTGGGCAACACAGAAAAGCTGACCCTGGTGGTAGAGGTGTTGGAGAGCCACCCCCAAAGGCATGAATGCAGGAGAGTGGGCCAGGAAGAGTCTTGTCTGCTGGGAAGTGGAATAGATGAGGGAGAGGCAATCTCCTTTCCTCTCCCTCATTCCTAACCACCTATGGTAGGCAAGAGAGCTGGCTCTAATGTCATGAGAGTGGGAGAATTGGCCATGTTCCTCACAGGCAGCAACACTCAGGAGAACAGGCCCTGTGTCTCACTTGGACAGCAGGGTAGAGTTGGTCTTGGTTGCAGGGAGTGGGGTGAGCTGGGGGAAGGAGGGAGGATGTTGCTTGTGAACAGGCCCTGAGGGTGTGAAAGTAGGAAAGCCAGCTGGGTGACTAGCTTAGATATCTTTCAGGCCCAGATCCAGGGCTTTGAATTGGCCCACCCTGACATCTACCCCATCTATGAACTGCTAGAATGAGAGAAGAGGCTGGTCTTATAGATCTAAAAACAAAATCTCCATGACCCAGGGCAACAACAGGATGAGGAGCTCCAGTGAGGTTTCAGTATTGATAGAGTAGCAGAAGCTAGAGGAATTGAACTAGATGGCTCATTGCAATAAACACTTACAAGCAAAAAAGTGTGGACAAAAAGGTTTAATGTGGGATACACTGTCACAACAAAAGCTTTCAAAATGAACTTTTCTCTTTTTTTGGGGGGGGTGCAGTTGCAAGTGTGGAAAGTGGGTATGAGGGGATGGGGAGATGAGTGGGATTGGGGTGCATGATGTGAAATTCACAAAGAATCAATAAAAAAGCACACACACACACATGCACATGTGCGCACACACACACACACACACAGTTAGTAGAATTTTTTTTACCATGGCCAACTGGCCTTTGTCTAGGTATGGTGAACTGGCTTAATAGGTGAGCAACAATGAACATATTTCATATCAGTATTCTAAAGAAAAATAATCACATGATTACGTCCACCAGATAAGACAGCATTTTGACCAAATTCAACACTTAATCCTGATTTTAAAATCTCAGCATATAGGAAAGGAGAGGACAACATTTAGCTTGACAAAAAGCATATGCAAAAAACTACACAGGTAACATCATTTTTAATATTGAGAAAACAGAGGCTTTGTGTTAAGATCAGGAACAAAGCAAGGGTTATTTTTCTTTTCACTCTTATTCAATACCTAACATGAACTCATAGGTAATAAATAAGGTAATAAAAGCAGATAAAATTTATATATGGGAAAGTAGTAACTAAAAATAAAGCTACTTTTATTCACATATAGTATGACTTACAATGTAGAAAATCTTGAAGGGCAAACAATAAAAGCTGCCTTGAACTAACATGAGTATAAGAAATTTCCAGGTATAAAGTTAAAATAAAATATACTCTTTGTATATCAACAAAGAATAATTGAATGGTGTTTCAAATTAAAAGCACATTACTATTTAAAGCAGTTAAATATAAACCTAACAAAGCATCTACAAGGCTTATATGAAGAAGACTAATATTCTGATGGAACAGACTGAAGAGTATGTAAACAATGAAGACATACTCAACAACTCATGCTGTTAAAATTCCAATTGCCCTGTGGATCTCTAGATGAAAAGAGCCAACAGAATGTACACACATCTAAATTGTAAAAATAGATTAATCAGATAGGCTCATGTGGTATGAGTAGGGCAGTTGTACAGTGTTGCACAACTTCATGCTGCAGAGGCTGAGCACTAGGTTCACAGTCCAGGAAGGATGCCTTCACACTCTCAATTTAATGTGTAAACCCTTGAAGAGTTGCTGAAATTGAGTACATGCTGAATACCTGAACCTCTGGACTCTACTGTCAGCAGGTAGCAACAGCAATAGAAGCAGTCATTGGGAAAAGAATGATAGCCTGTATCTTGCTTCATCTCACTTCTTCAATAGAACAGTTTACACTGTTGATAATTTCACCCTTATTCAGGGCAGGTGATCCCTTACTATTCACTGTCTGACATGTCAACCCTATCTGAGAAAGTCTTCACAGGCATTCATTTGCAGTGCACAAATACTAGGCATCTTCTACCCAGTTATGTTGTCATTGCAGATCAATTGTCACACTAGCTCTTTGCAGCCTGATCAGTATAGATTCACTATAATCTTTACAAACCCCCACCAAGTTATTTTCTAAATAACTAACCAAATGAAATTTATATGAAAGAAGAAAAGGAACAGAACAACCAGTTCAGTATTAAAAGAGAAAAATAGAATACTGACTCATAAAAGATTAATAAGAAAATACATTAATGACACACAGCACTGATGAAGACCTTTAAAAATCAATGGAAAATAATAGTACCCAAAGTATACCACGTAACTAGAATTGATTAATCTTTGACCAAGGAGGTAAGACATTGCCACAGAGGAAAAGATTGCCTTTTCTCAGCATACGGCCCTGGAAATGTCCATATTCACAGCCACATATATTTAAAAACTCTTGGTGTATGCCTACTTCTTTAAAAAATGAACTCAAATAAGAATACGAGAACAGTAAAATCACAGATGACATCTATACATCTACTGCTAAATCTGGTACATCTACTTCTTAGGTATTCTTGAGGTGTATAAACCCAGGGAAGTGGTATTTTAAAGTCTATTTCATAAATTACTAAAATGGCTTAAGTACAACCTTATGTGAGTGATATCTGATCCCCTCAAGCAAATATTTAAAAGACAAAATTAGCATCTAAACTACTTATATAGACTTAGTTCATTTAGAACAACACTCTTTAATTCATAAAATAATTTTCAGGAAGCTATGAACTTAAACATTGTCTCCCTAAATCTTAATATTCATAAACATCTTCATAAGAATTAATAAAGAAAATTTTATTTTTTAAAACAGTCAATGATAATAAAAACCAAAAAGCCCCATAAAATGTTTTATGCTAGTCAAATATATTGATATACATAAAATCTTTGGATTAGATAAAAACAATGGATTTGTTTTTAAAAAAATAACCTTCATATGCAAATGATAAATGTCAAGATTTTCACGATGATTGTGATACATACAGAATGATAACTATACATACATGCATACATATTTGTGAAATATCTTTACATCAATTTTCCTTCTCATAATGGGAATTACAGAAGATCCTACCCCACAAACAGTACCATTCATA